TGCTGTCAAGAACAGAAATTGCATTAATATTTACTTGTAAATGGATCTGTTGTAGTGGACCATGTATGAATAAGAGCCACTTATAAAGTGCTCACACACCTTTAAAGAAGGTGACTGAGAACTGTATGGGAAAACAATCATTAGGGGAAACGTTTGCAGAAATGTAAGTGGCAAATGCAGCAGTAGAAGAATAAGTATCACTGAGCTTTCCTTCAGAGAGGGAAAAGTTACTCTTGGGTTCCACTTGGAAAGGAGCCCAATTTAGTTCTAAGTTGAGATTTTTTCATATACAACAACTCATTTGCTGTTAAGTTTCTTTTGCTACATGTTAAGTAGTTCAGTTTCTACAACTGAGTTTACCCTGGCAGTATCTTCTCAGGAAAGGATCGTCTAGGAAGGAAAATTCAGAACCCAAAATATGCTTCGGATTGGCATACTTCCTAAACCATAAATGGGGACATGAAATCTGACTGTGATGGGGGGGGCTGGCCTGGAAATCCCGAGGTGTATGTCTGTCACACCCCAGTAAGTCTAGTCAGTGGGACTGATGAGAGGAAAGGAAGAAGGAAAAGAGAAAAGAGTAAAATCTTCGGAAAGATCGGTAGGGTGTGAGAGGGGATAAAATGTTACACGAGAAACTGTGTCAAGAAATTCTGGATTTCTCTCAGGCATGGGAAATGCCCTCCCTGGTTTTCATCTCTTAAAGGTGGGAGGAGAAAAAAAAATATATCTGATTTATGCACTGAGGATTTTAGTAGATGAATCAGATTGCCGGCAGCTAATATGTACATGGGAGAAAATGATCAAATTATCAATGCTAATTGTCTGAAGGCAATAGGTATCTTGTTGCTAAACATTAACTTTGACAAGAGATCCTTACAAATGCCTAGGTACTTTGAAGTACTGGTGATACTTTCCAGAAGATGGACAACCATGGTTACTTCCTAAAACATGTTCTGACAAACCTAGAGCCTGCTTTTTATTTTCTCTTGGAGGTACTGGGGATTTGAACAGAGGGCCTCATAGGCTAATGCTCTAACCATTTGAGCTACAACTCCAGCCCTGTTTTTGCTGGTTAGTTTTGAGATAGTCTTCTAAACTGTTCTGCCTGGGCTGACTTTGAACTATGATCCTTTTGTTCATAGCCTCCTAAGAAGCGAAGATGTGAGGCATGAGCCACCAGTACTGGCTGAATATCTTTTAAAGAAAAATTACAGTCTGATCAGTTTAAATTCTCAATGATTTGAGTTTTTCTATTAAAATGTGAATCCATAAAGTACTTTAAAAAAGTAATCTCAGAATGAAGGAACTTCCTAGTTATAACTCAAAAGTCTAAGGGGGAAAAAACCCCAAAATAGAGAAATACTGGATAACAGAAAAGTCAAAGAATCACAGTTAAGAGCAAACCACAGAGTCAGGCACTGGTGGCTCATGCCTGTACTCTGAGCTACTCAGGAGGCTGAGATCCGAAGACAGCTTCAAAGCCAGCCTGGGTAGGAATGTTCAACCCATTCTTATCTTCAATTAACCATCAGGAATGATAGAGTACTAGCCTTGAGCAAAGGAGCTCACAGAGAGACCCCAGGTCTGGAGTTCAAACCCCGTGACTGACCAAAAAAAAAAAAAAAGTAAACTACAGATAACAAAAAAAATATGCAACTCATACTATTGAGAGGGGATATCTTCATCTCTCTTCATTGGAAAAAGACCAACAATCCAAAGGGAAAAGTGGTAAAAGGTATAAGTAAGGTCTTCTGGAAAAATAAAAACAAATGGTCCAACTGACTTATAATAAAAGGCAACACACGGAAACTACACTGAGTCATGATTTTTTTTTATAGCTATTAGCAACAATGGCAATCCACTATGGAGGATATCGGGATATGAGTATATTCACACAATGCTAATGGGAACCCATCTTGATACTCTACCGTGGAAAGCAATTTGGCACCATCCATCAAAATTACAACACATGTACCGTGGGACAGACACTGCCAGTTTCCTGACTTCATCCTGCATATGCCTTTACCCACTTAACCAAATGGACACACAAAGTTCTTTGCAATAGGGAATCTTGTTTGTAACAACAGGAGCCTAGGGACAACCCAAATGGCAGCCACAGGGGGATTTCCTAAATAAGTCTTGACATAGCTATACAAAAAAATATTACCATGCTTTTGTAAAAAAAATAAAATAGGGAGACTAGAGAGGAATAGAGAAACATCAGGCTAAGTACAAATCTAAGGAGCGCGGTGACGTGTGCAGGCCTGTTCTGTGTAAAAGCAGACCATGGCTTCCTATGTGTTTATGTCTCTAACAATCGCTGGAAAACCAGCGGGTGAACTAGCAAGGGGAGCTATTTGTGCGCAGGCAGGAAACAGCACAGTGGGGTATATATGACTTTAAGCTTTTTGTATTGAGTATTGGCCATTCAAAGCCTTTTGGAAAAGTTTAATACTTTGCACATGACATGTCGAATGTTGTCCTCTCCTTTCTGGGAAAAATAACCAGTTCTCTCCTTTTACTGCTTTATCTTAAACAATTCTTTCCACTCTGGGCCTTAGGGGTTCAGTCCTCGCTCCTGCCAGCAGAGGGCTAACGTGAGCAACAGGGATAGAGAGGCAAAGGGTTGTTGAACGCCACAGGAAGTTCATGCGCTGGAACTCAGGAACTCAGACTCTTTGGGTGTCTCCTGAGTCATTCTCCTCTGACCCGTGGCCACCCTGTGGAACGTGAGAGGGACAGAAGAGGAAAAGGGAGCAGAAAACGAGGCTAGTGGAAATGATTGCTCTGGCTGTTCCGCCTTCAGCAGAAGCCTGGCAGAGGTGGGGACACCCTGCCTTCCTGAGGGCTGTGGACAGAGCATGGAGCTGGGCAGGGAGGAAGCAGGCCATGCACCTGGGGCAGGAAGATGGAGGTGGGAGTGTGAAGATGGGGTGCTGGTCTTAGGTACACAGAACCCACAGTGTGAGTGGGGAATTGTAGGCTCCGAGGAACAGAGCAGGCAGAGACAGCAGCATCAGAAGGAAGACAGCCTTTGAGACCTTTGAGGACCAGGATCTACCTGGCCCACTTGTTCCTCATGGAGTATTGAAGCCCAGCACTGGACAGAGAGAGGAGGAGTTGGTCAGTACTTCAGTAAGTGTGGAGGGTCCAGCTCAGTCACTTCAGTGCACTTCTCACAAGTGCAACTTCCTCCTGTCCTGTGGGTTATATATCCCCCACTAACCACTTCCTGTTTGCTATCTCATTCTGTCTTCACAACAATGCCAACAATTCACTATTTCAAGACAGGGTTTCATGATGGAGCCCAGGCTGGCCTTAAACTAACCATCTTTACACCTCACTCTCCTGAGTACTGGGATTACAAGTGTGATCCATCACACCCAGCTTCAATGGACTTGCTTTTTAGATGAGGAAATCAAAGTTCAGAATACTTTTTATTCACAGAGCCAGAAAATGGTAGACCTGAAGTAATCACTGAATCTCTTTCAGTCAAAAGTCCATCATTTTTTTAAAAGCTACTACATTGTAAAAAGGGGTGGGGAGGGTAGTACACTATTTGACTTACAATCAGATTCTCATAGTTCCCACAATGGATCTTAACTTAGACCTACATGGAACTTACTTGTGTTCCTTTTACTCAGAAGCAGAGAAAAGACTACAGGGTCTAGGTGCCTTGTAACATAATACAGTTGCAAAGCATCATGGGTCTAATTGAATTGTCTACAGCATGGCCACAACCTGTTCACTCCCACACTGGGGCCAAGTACATTAATGGGACAGTTCAACATTATCTCTGGGGAACTGAGACGCATTTATCTCTATGTGGTCCGTGAGGTGTTGCTGGCTCTTGTAAGAACTGCATTAAAACCCACATTTCTATGGGCTAGATAGAAGCATTCAAGTGATCTCCGAATTTTCCCTCTCTTAACCGAAATCTTTTGAATCCAAAGGTATAAAGAAGGATTTCTATTTCACTGGAGTTTTGAACATCTATTTACAAACTGAAAACTTTAACAAGTTAAAAAAAAAAGATCACGGGTAATTATACTACCAATCTCTGCCTTCTGTGCAAGGCCAACATTGCACCACGCACGTTAGTAGACAGATCGAGAATATTCTCATTAATCTGTCAAAATTTCCATACAAATCTTTTCACATGTCATCTGTGTATATAATTATAGAGGATAGATAACCAGAATTTCATCTTAGTAACCTGATTTTGCTCACCACCAATAAAGACCAATCAGCACATGGAAAAAAAATCAAATGTAAGGAAGAAAAGAACTACTTATGGCATTAGGTCATTGAGTAGGCCTATGCACCATCAATGTAATCTTAAAATCTTACATTTACATTCAAGCGTTTGCCTACAATAATCCTTACTTAACTATGATGAAGAGGTTCAAGTGTGGTGATTAAGATTGTTTGTTACAAATCTCTCCAGGTCAATTATTTTTATGCAGTATTTAACTCATTTACAACTCATCAAAAGTTGCCCTTTCTGATAAAAAAGCACACGATAAATCCACACTTGCCCAGCTCTCTCTCCATTTCCTACTCTTCACCTTTAAAGGAGCTACACATGTAGTATTCTAGAAGATGTGTTTTCACCTATATGGGTAAGTGCATGCATTTGTTTTTTTTTTTTTTTTTTACAAAGAAGCTCTAAACCATGCAAACATCTGAAATTTTTGAAAGAAAATGGATGCAACATACAAACATAGAATACACCCAGTATGCACCAATCTAGAAACAAAAGAAAACCCACCTCCCAACCCACAAAACAAAGCAAAGCAAAGCAAGCATATGCAGGGCATACTGTAAAATTGATATTTTTGCACATCTTGCTTTTGAAGGTTGGGGTAAAACAGGTGAGGATGAGCATTTGCTATCCAGAAGACATTTTTAAACCCCGTGGCAACAAAAACAGAAAAGAATTCAGCAAGCCAGTCCCGGCGATTGAGACGCCCCCCTGAAGCTGGACCGCCCCTCACCTGCTCCCCTTTTCTCCTCTCTCCCCAGAAGAAGGCACTTCACGGAAACGTCTGGGAAAGCCCTTGGACTTTACTTTGTTACACCCTCTAAATGGATAAAAAACAAAAGAGAACAGGTGTAGAAGACAATATTTGCAATTGGCCACTCAAGAGTTCCACACAAATACCCTCCCTCCCCTTCAACACAGGTGTCCCTGACAGGCAGGCCTTTCCTGAGGCAGGTGTGCGTGGAGGGGGCCGGGGGTGGGGGGCTGGAGCTCAAAAGAGGAAGCCACACACTCAAAGATGGCACGTTTCAGGAAGGTCTCTGATGCTGGAACAAGAAATACAAAAGAGCTCTTCCAGATTGTCTTTATGTATTGGAAGGTGGAGGTGGCATTACTCTGGTACTTTAATAAGAATGATTCCTCTCATCCTGGTATCTGCTGGACCACCTCTGGCTTCAACTAACAGAGGGGAAGGTATTTGCTAATGGCCAGTATCCTACCCTTGTGTTGCAACTTCCTCTAAATTTGGTTATCATTAGACAAATCCAGGGTTTGTCTTTTTCTCTTGCATTCCTATCACCTTGGGATAAATGCTGTCCTGCTACACAGTACAGACTGTAGAATACACACCAGGGAGATAGGAACAGGAACTGGCAAGTTATTACTAAATGAGAAATTCTCTGTGTAGTTTCCCTTTAAAATGTAAATAACCACAGGCACCATGATTGGCTATAGACTTGAGATACATACTTTTTGCCACCATACATGAAGAACACTTGAGCTAAATGAACACTTCAAAGTATTTGATTATATTTAATTAGCTACATTTCCTGGACTGGAGAAACTCACACTGAAATGAATCCTATTTTTCCCAAACTCCACAATCTGAAAATGATTTTTTTTTACCCTATACCTAAACTAGAATCTGTGGATGTTTTCTTTTCTGGAATTGTGCACAGGAGTGTGAAGTCAGGCGGGTAATTCTGTTAAAAACTTTAACAGCTTTTTTCCTTCAAGAAATAAATGTTATCTAATTCTTGCTAGCAGGCCCTTCCCCTCGCCTCCTTTGTAAAGCTTTTATTTTGGTAATTATTAGGCTACATATTGGGTAAAAAGTGCTGGGCAAAGGAGCCAAAATGTAGAGAAGCCAAAAGTTGGGAATGTGACACAAAGGGCGGAGAGGGGCGATTGCTGGAATTCTGAACTTCTTGTCTCCCTCTATCGAGAACTTTCTGGAACTACAATGACTGTCCTCCAGACATCACGGATAGGCTGTGTGGCTACGCACATTAATCTGAGGAAATCACGAGTGTGTTGGAATGTTTTTACAAATTTTCATAGAAACTTGAAACTTGCAGCTTCCTCAAATGTTTAGACTTTTCCTCAACCCTTAGCCCCACTCAGAATTCTGCCAGATTCACTGTAGGGGGAATTTTGGAGCAGAGCCGCCATCTCCGCAGCTTTTTTCTCACACACAATCACAGGCGCTTAAAACTACCACCCGTAAACTGACAACACTTCACTGAGAAGCAAATGTCAGACGATCAATAATTAATATCTCCAGCAATCAAAAGGGAGGGTCATCTATGCTGACCTACAATACAATCAATAACATTGGAGAGGATGCTGGTCAATCCTGAGAATTCAAACAGAGGTGCTTTTTAGTCACTTTGAGGAAACTAAACCCCTCACGAAAATCTCCCCTTTCCTGCTAAGTTTTACAAATCCACCCATCCACCACTTGCCTAGCACAATCAGTCGCTGCCGTTTTTCAAAGTATCATGAAACATGGTGAAATGGAAACCTTTATCTGTGTATCCTTTTGCTGCTTTTGTCTAATGACTGTGTGTTAGCCTGTTCCAAGAGCCTCCACTGGCATCCCAGGGCCGACTTGACAGCAGGGGGCCGGTTACTATAACAACTGACAGCTCTTGTGAATTCTGAAAGGCCCCAGAGTAGCCATTTGGGAAACAGTTATTGAGTAAAAAGTTGCTTGGAATCATTACGACCACGTGACCCAGATCTCCCTGAACAGTTAGTTGCCTGGAGAGGAATAAAGAAGAAGAAAGAAGAAGAAAATTGTCCACCTCTCGCTACAGGCCTTGAAAAGCTCCTTCGCCCCCCTACTCCTTTCAGCATCTCGGAGCAAGATAGTTTAACACCACAGTGTCATCACGAATGACAACCCTCTGAGACAGGCCAGATTTTGGCATTCTGAAGTGTGCTTTAACTCTCCTCACTGGCTTGACACATTGTCAGGTGCTCAATGGTAAAAATTATTCCTAATGATTAGAGAGAGAGAGAGAAAAAAACCCACCAAAAACAAAACCTTGAAATATGGCTACAGATGCAAGTTCTAGGAAGAGGCGAATTGCATAGGCAGTTAGCAGTTTTAAAAAGAAAGAGTGATATCCTGAACATCTGTGGTCCACTAAATGGACTTTCTGTAGAAAGAATAAAGGCGATCAATACACAAAGCCCCTGAAAATGCCTTGGAAGCTTCGCTTTTTCTAAGCTTAGGAGCCGTTTTATATAAAACCTACCTTTTGATTCTCATTTTCTCAGCGCAAGAGGACCCTGAGTGGTGGGGGACTGAACTCAGGGCCTTTGTACATGTGGAGCCCCATGGAGAAGCTCCTGTGAAGGTGGCCTGTGCTTTGAACGCATGGAAGGAAGCAGGGCTCCAGGAGCGCTGGCCCCACGATCCATGCTTCTAGGTCATCTCCTAGGCAGCTGCCTCTGCCTAAGCATCTGTCCGTTCCCTTTGTTCTACACACCCACTTCTCCCTGCCTCTGGTTCCTTTCCACTGCACGGTAGCCACGGTCAAGTCCCTTCCACAGCACATTGTTTCCCTTTATCATAGCTGTAGCCTGGGGAGTATAAATCCAACCAACCCTCTCCAAAAGCCACGGGGCCAGCAAGGGCAAAGCAGCATCAGCAGATGCTGGGGCTAGCTGGCAAATGATTGCCCATCACAGAGGACCCATGGGGTCGGCTCTGGCTTGCAAGGGCCACCAGGGAAGAAGAGATGAACATCTGTGGATCTTACCGTTCATTGCAAGAACTCAGGCAGCTGGGATGTAAGTCACGTGTTATGCTCAAGAGAGTCAGCACTCCAAAAGCAACATGTAGAACTTGATCTAGAGGACACTGGGCCTGTGGGATAATGTTTATTGACGTGCTCACTTCTTCCACAAGGGAGCGGAAGGACCCTTTGCAAGGTGCGACTTTTGTCTACTGGACAGGCTCCAGTGTCCCATACTAATGTGAAGTGTAAGAAGTGGTGAATGTAAGGAGAAGAAAAGGCCTCAGCCATAAAGGGCAGCAAGGCAAGGTGTGAAGAGTAGCAAAACCTAGGAGCCCCATGATTCCACATAAACCATTTTCCTGTCTGGAACCTTTCTTCTCTTGGGACCTACAGGCTACCAAAGGTGGCTGCTTGAGAATTAAATGATACCCCATGTATTGGGTATGGTTGGTATACACTCCTGTAATACCAGATTCTTGGGAGGCTGAGGTCGGAGGATCATAAGTCCAAGGCCAGACTCAGCAAGACCCATCATTTCAACACAAACATTTAAAAAGGGCTGAGAGGATGTGGCAGTAGCTCATCATCTAGCATTGGGTAAGCTTGGGTTCTGTCGCTAGCACTTTTTTTAAAGCAACAGGTGCTTTATATTAATTCAACTATTATTGGAGGGTTTTTATTAGTTGTATTTCTCCTTTGCTGTCCCTTCATGGTCACCTTGTTTGGAAGAAGTCCCTCTTACCACACTGGTCTCCTTGATGACTTTGCTGGTGGAGGGATAGGGGAGGCAAACATGGAATGCGAATCCTCAGCCAGCTAGTATGGGAAGTGTTAGCGTCAAGGGCAAAGGGGTGTGGAGACAGCACCTACCTGCTTGCAGCTACTTTGAGTGGTGGGAATACAAGGGGGACCCACATTCCCAAGAGGCACATGTGGTCAGTCATTGCTCGGGCTCGGGTGGCGCGCTACCACGTGCCCACACTCGACTTCTACACGCATCTGTCTGTTTGCCTGAGCTCCCGTCATGCCAACACAAATCCCCCACACATTTGCGGTTTGCATCCCTTCATATTTATTACACTCTGTCTCCCACTGAACATCCAGGGAAGAAAAAAAACCAACATTGCAATGTCAACAAAACTCATTTGTTTTCACGAACAGCATTCTTAATGAGGAGGCACCAACACATGGCAAAAATCCCTGAAAGTCTGTGAGATAGAACTCAGAGGAAAAGAAAGACCTCTTTCTATTTGTGCAAGAGGCTACATTGGTGCTGACTGAATTTGCCACCGGACTGACTTATGAGCTCAAGAGGGACATACATTTGCTGGATCAGAGCAAAAAAATCTTTCTAATATCAAAGTCGAACAAACCTGAGTGGAATGTTACAATTTCCCTGGAGAAAGTTTCTAGTCTTTTGATCCAGAATCTGTGGACTTATCTGAATCTGAGAAGCTGCTTTATCCTTCTGGGAAGTCTTTCCCAGACTGGAATTATTACAATCAACAAGATACTCCGTCAACTAGGGAACCAGTACTCATCACTTGGGATTAAGGCAGACCAAACACACCATACTATTCAACAGCAAAATCTCTTCCAAGTAAGCTGAGTAGCTCATGCTGATAATTCTAGCTACTGGAGAGGCTGACATAGACAGAAGACGGTTCTAGATCAGTTTTTTTTTTTTAAAAAAAAAAGGTTGCAAGACCTCATCTTAACTAGTAAAAGTTAGACATAGTGGTACATGCTTGTCATTCCGTGGAAAGCATCAAGAGAAGGATCTTGGTCAAGGCTGGCTTGGACACAGATGCCCCTATTTGTTCAAATATCAATATTGAAAGGAAAGAAATTGCAAAGTAATGGAAATGTAACTGAACAGTGACAGTGTGCCCAGCTTCCAGAATACCTGAAGATATAGTTGGTTCTTGAAGTTGCTATCTGACCAACCAGATTCAAGCCAGTTGAGCACTTCAGTGAGGAAGTCAGTTCAAATTCCTTCCTTGCAGTGTCTTTTTGACATGCAAAGGGTGCACTTCCATTGTAAGCTGGGCCAGGAATATATACTTCTCTC